AACCTCAGTTTGCTTCCTGAGATTGAGTCTCTTATGGTTTGTCTCCCTCTCTGTTTTCATCTTATTTCATTTTTCCCTCCCTTCCCCTATGATCCTCTGTCTTGTTTCTCGAATTCCTCATGTCCATGAGATCATGATACTTGTCTTTACCTGACTGACTTATTTCACTTAACATAATACCCTCTAGTTCCATTCATGTCATCACAAATGGCAAGATTTCGGGGTGTTTTGTTTTGTTTTGCTTTTGATTTGATGGCTGCATAGTAAGGAGTGATATTTGAATAGAAAAACACGCAGTTATACAGCTCTAGTATTTTAATTGCATTGAACATGCTAACAATAATCATGGTTCTGTTCCACTGTTACTCTTGCAGCCAACATAATTGCTGTAGTGCATGTGAATTCTGGTATGAACCCTGATATCAATTCCTGTGCAGAATGTTAACAATTTTTCCTGTCTTCTCTGTTTTGTTTTTAAGGTTTACTCAGATACTTATCTCAATTCCTGTTGTTTACTCATTCTGTACCAGCGCAACTGAACCACAATACTTCTTGTGGCCTGTGTTTGGTTTTGTTTTGTTTTTCAGACCGAAAACAGTTAAAATTCATGGGCCCAAAGTGGGAGAGCTTTCATTTAGATTCTTTCCCAGCAGGAGATATAGGAAATGGAGGGGGACACAAAGCCCTAAGGAGGACTTTTTATTCCCTGATCCCCAAGAGCATAGTAAACTGGAATGTGGATCACAGCAATGCGCTGAGCTCCAGAGACAGACTTTGGGTGGTAGGAGAAGAAGTAAGGTTCATTCAGGTTTCCAACCACAAGCCCATGTTTCCTTGTACCAGCAAGCTTTGATTTCTTCACGGATTTCTCCCACCTGAATCTCATGTCTCACAGGTGGTCCCCAGGACATCCTCCAGAGCCATCCTCCTGCCCTCCTACCCTTCCACCTGCTCATCTTCTCTCAGGTCTCTGAGTCCCTCCCACATTTTCCAGATGAATTTTTTGTTATCTCTTCTCAGACAAGCTCAAAATCATCAGGTCCTCTATGTAAGTGTAATTTTCAAATTACAGATTGAGCCAAAGTTTTATAGCCCAAAGCTACCCTAGCTCAACTTACTCAGAAATGCATAATAGGTACTGGGATTTGAGTTTTAGAAGTAAGGGAGTTCTGGAGAGCTGAAGAGAAGAGATCCCGATTAAAAAGTCAGCTTTTACACCCCGTACTGCCAAAAATCTCTTTCTTCACATTTCAGAAGCTCTTGCCCTCACACAAACTTCTCACATGAAGTCTGGAGGGAAAGGTTAGGTGTTTGGGGCCAGGATGTGAGGTCAAATCAGAGATTCAAAAGGAATAAAAGGATGGATATGGGATTTGTAGGAGGCATGAGAAAGGAAGAAGTATTCGGAACTCATCTTCTTGGTCCTCGCAATCAACTAACCTACCCTGCCCCTGTTCACATCCCATAAATATACACACACTTGGAGCCCTGCGCTTCCCTCTAATTGTCAGCAAGATCTACAGAGCAAAAATAGACTATCCCAAAGTCCAGTCTACTGTAAATCTCTGCCTTCACCACCACATAGCAGATCATCCTTTCTCCTTTCTGACCTGATAATGAAAAAAGGGACAACCACTTTGAAAAACATCTGGCAGTTTGTTATGACATAAAATATGCATTAATTCTAAAAACCAGTAAATCAATTTACAGTATTCACTCAGAAGGGATGACTGGTTTGCTTTTTCGAGGAGTCGACAGATTTCATCCAAGCCTGCATGAGGAACCACTGCAGAACCAATTCTGGAAGAAAGGAAGGGAGAACCTGCTTTTATTCACTTGAGGAATATCAGAGTCCATCAGCTCACTGAGAAGAATGAGGCAAACCAGGACACATCGAAGTTTGGTCTAGGACATTGTTGAGAAATCCCACAAAGTACTCTGGACTCTTCCCATATAGTCATGAACAATAATTGAGTAAAGCCAGGCAAACAGAAGGAGATTTCTAGAGAAAAAGAATTACTGCAGAAACAGGGGAGGATATTAACTTTTCATTAGTATATTCACTTGAAGAGGCTATTATAATTATGAAATAAGACTGGGCAGCTATGAAGACGATAAGAAAAAACTCTTAAAATGCTAAAATATTTATTTTGCAATCAGATGAAATTCTTTAAAAAATCTGTAATTATGTAAGCAAGTTATTCTATTAGTTATGACAAAGCAAAGGCAGGGGCGCCTGGGTGGCTCAGTGGGTTAAAGCCTCTGCCTTCAGCTTGGGTCATGATCCCAAGGTCCTGGGATCAAGCCCTGCATCGGGCTCTCTATTCAGTGGGGAGCCTGCTTCCCCCTCTCTCTCTGCCTACCTCTCTGCCTACTTGTGATCTCTGTCTGTCAAATAAATAAATAAAAATCTAAAAAAAAAAAAAAGAAAAGAATTTTTTTAAAAAAAAAGACAAAGCAAAGGCAATAATTTTGAAAGTAAACTAATATGTGTTTTTTAAATAATTTATTTCCAAGTCACAGGTAAAGGGAATGTGAAAACTAACAGACATCATTCTAAATCACTGCTCATATGTTAGGAAATAATAACAATTATTTAAAATATTCTGTTACTTAATTTTAACCATAACTCATCAAGTGATTTTCATTGTGTTTGTTTTTTTTTAAATGAGAACACATATCTCATAAAATTTAGTTTATTTGATAAGGGCCAGTATGTGGCAACACCAGAATTATAATAAAAGTCCACCTCTGATATAGAGAAATACCGCATGATCTCACTTATATGCAGGATCTGCAACAGTTACACTAGGAAGTAGATATTAGAATGGTGGTGGTCCGGGCTGGGCTGAGAAGGAAATGGGGAGACACACACACACACACAGGTGTGCATATGTTTATTAGCCTGATTATGATGATCATTTCACAACATAAACATGTATTCAACCATCAAGTTGTATACCTTAAATATTTACAACTTTTATATAGCAAGGTATCTCAAAGCTGTTAAAAACCTGAAAATAAGTCTGCCTATAAAGGTGTGTGTGTATCCAAAGTAGAACTGGAATAGTCTTGACAGTGGTGCCAAGGATCTGAAAAATGAGGGAAATTGAGGAAAGTGTACAAGGCATGTCTCTGTATTATTTCTTACAAATGTATGTGAAGTTACAGTTATCTTTTATTTTTTAAAAATGTAGACAATTTTGGAAATTCTTCTCTAGGGTGCAAGTTTTCCTTTGGTTTTGCATCCTCTGCTGAGCTTTGTTTCCAGGTGGCAGACAGGGCCTAGGCAGAAGTGTGAGTATTCAGAAACCTATTGGTTTTTTGAGACAACTGGGCATGGGACTCAAGAAAGACAAGTGAAGCGAGGAGAGGTTGCAGAACTGGGCAGGGACCCTGTCATCAAGCCTGCTTTACACAGGTGAAGGGAGCACTAGGAATTTCTCCATAGGATCACAAACACACTGTATATTTACAAGTACAAGAAGCAAATGGATTGGCTTTCCTAGATCCCTCTGCCTTTAAGATCATGGAGTCTCCTCATTTCCCTCTCCCTCCTGAAACAGGGCAGACAGGGATATCATCTGCTATCCCTAACTACAGAAGTGACCCAGATGCTGAACTATCAAAAGGAGCACTGCCTCGTGTACTTTGGACACATCTAATTTCATAATTTTGCACACTTTCATTATTACGATCCTATCACATTTTCTGCTACTTCTAGAGGACATTTTTATATTCCTCAAATTATTCATTGTAGCGATGGGGTAGCAGGAAGGCAGAGGTCAAAGGGAAAATTTAGAAGATCAATTTCCTCCAGTTTCCATGGATGAGTCCCGAGATATAGGGGAGCTGTGTGTGCACGCACACACACACAGTACACACACACAGACTGTAGAAATATTCACCTTGGAATCCTTTGCGTCATCAAATGTCATCCAAAGATGAGGCCCATAGGGTTCTGGGGAAAAGCAGGAGTGAGAGCTGATACTGTTTAACCAGACAGCCCACTTTTTTTCTCCTAGCTCTGAATATAATTAAAGAAGAGTTGAGAATAAAAATGCTGAAAGACATAGGGATGTCTTTTATGAACAAGTCCCAGATGAACATCCATTGTAGTGATAACACACCTCCAATCTCACTGAAGGAAGAGAGCAAGATTTTCCTCTACCTTCCTGAGAACTTCCAAGTCACTGCAAAAGGAAAGCTGATCACGCAAGCAAAACACTTTCCTACACCATTGTTAAGAAATCCCACGATCATACCTCTCTTACTGTATCACTGTGAATAATAACCTTTTAAAGCTGGGCAAACTGCCCAAATCAAAATTCGAATTCAATGAAATAGAATTACTGCAGAAAAATTAAAAAAAAAAAACAAAAAACTAGGCAGCTATACAAAAACATTAGTTAAAATTTAAAGAAAATTGTAATTCTTTAACCCCGTTATTTTATTTCTTAACACAAAACAAGAATGTAAGAACTTATATTCTTAATGTAAGAATACATTAAGCTAATATGTATTCTTGAAATCATTTATTTTAGTCAGAATGAGAGGGGGGCAAAAAATAGACACATACTAGATCCCTTCTTACATGCTAGAAAACATTCTGTTGGTTAATTTTCACAATTCTACATCAGGTACATTTTTTTTTCTTTCTTTCTTTCTTTTCTATTTCTTTCTTCCTTTCTTTCTTTTTTTTAACAAATGAGAAAACTGAATCCCATAGAATTTCATGAGACACTAACATAGCTTGTATTTTTTAGTAGCAAATATTTATTAATAAATCAAGATACTCAGGGGTGCATGGTGGCTTAGTAGGTTAAGCATCTGCCTTCAGCTCAGGACATGCTTTTGGAGTCCTGGTGTGGAGCCTCATGTCGGGCTCCCTGGTCAGTGAGGAGTCTGCTTCTCTCTCTCCCTCTGCCCATCCTCTTGTTCTCTCTCTCTCTCTCTCTCTCTGTAAATAAATCTTTTACAAAAATAAAAAATAAAAACACTTAGATGTTTATAATGACATTTATTTTCTTACAGTAATCCTAAATATGCTGCAGTTTTCACACCAAGATGATTTTAAGAAAATAAACACAGCATTCATGTACATTATTCAAGGTTCCATTGAATTGTGTGGAGAGACAGGACAGGAACCCAGACACTCTGGACATGAAACTATCACTTTTAATTATTAATTTTGATATCTTCTCCTGAATGAAGGGTGTTCAAATGGAGGAAAGGAAGGCAGCAAGGAAAAGATGGTGAGAATGGCACAGATAAGCTTGAAGCATCAGCTGCACCCAAAGCAACAAGCACTACAAGGAACTTAGCAGGGGTGTAAGAAGGTTCAAGAGCTTGGTGAGCACAGACTACAGGGTCATTATATTTCACAGGGTTGAAATACGGAAAAGCATCCTGAGAAAAGGAACATGAAGAGAATTTATAGATGAGAAACCTGTGGTTTGTGACACTCAAAAATGAGACAGTGCCAGCCTCATAGTCTAGGAAAGCTCCAACACAGTGGGGAGGGGCAAACAGGGCCAGGATTAAGATGAAGGGATCAAAGAAGGATGACCCCTCAAAAGCATTATATTCAAGTTGATGTGGCACCTTTTAATGAAGTAATCACATGTGGTAGAAACATAGAATGAAGATGTTGATCATTTCAATCAAGTCTATCATGAAATTTCACATTGGGTTCTGGGCATTTTCCTTCCTATACCTCCAGGATCTACCTCCCAGTAATGTTTCCCAAAACCCAATAACCAGGGAGCCCAGGACAAATTAATTGTTATTATATGCATTATTCGGTTTCCAACAGCACATACATCTCATTTGTCTTTTATCTGTAGAAACAGGCAGTATATGTTGTATTTTGGAGATGATTTGGAGTCATGTGAGCTGCAGAAAAATTGGGGCTGGGTGAAAGACATGACATAGCTTTATTCGTGACACTGTGAGAGGGATCTTGGGAATAACTTGAGCGAGAACTGGGAAGAATTCTGTTCTGTTCTTGGGGAGAGGTATAACACTACAGAAGCAGAATATATATGTATGTGTTAGAAGGGAAAACATGGGTGTTGGAACATGAGACCTACTAGGAATGAAAAATTCTGAAAGGTGATGAGAACAAGGTGGCTTGATGACACTGATTTCTCCTCACCTCAGTAGCACTACATGTGTCAGCTCTCAAATAATAAAAAAAAAAAACATAATCAAGACAAGAAAAGGAGGCAGCCCTGAAATCTCTTTCCCTTAAAGTATAGGGGAAGGACTGGGGACTATGGCGAGGTAGTGAACTGGTGAAGGAGATTATGCCCCAGACACCTGGCCACTCCCCATCAAATATGACCATATCATCATGTGATGTCCTTTGTGTTCTCTCTCCATACCTAGAAATGGTGCCCTTTTCTCCTTTAGGCCTCTGCCCACAAGACTCCCACAGCCACTTACCATGCTCTAGCATTCCTCACCTCTAAACATTTGCATTATCACTTCCAGATCAGGAATTTGGGACACTTTCACTTTCTTTTGTTCCTTAAGAAAAGCTTTTTGTTTCTTCAGAGTCAAGTTCTTACTCCTAAAGATGACAAAAATAGAAACCCACACTTCTGAATTTTTGTTCTTCCAAAATGACTGTCTTCCTATTCACCCCATTGAAGAGTTTGAACCCTCCTCTCCAGAGACCCTGAGAAAGAGGACAGCAGACTCCTGACCTTGGAGCGAGAAGAAATGTGTTCATGTCTACATTCCCAGTCACCCTTTGTGTGACCTTAGGAAAGTCTTGAGGTCTCAGAGACACAGTTTCTTCCTTCAAAAATTAAATCAACCTCTCCCTCTTGATCTCCTAGGAAGTTTATGAAATAATGGATATAACAAAACAAAACTTTGGTACCTTGAAAAAAACTTAATGTATGGAAAAGTCACTGCATGGATGTGGCTTCACTGCAGGGATGTGGATTCCCAGGGCAGATGATCAGAAAGTGAGGTTGCAGAACCTGACTCCTGAATGTTTGGAACATATCACGTGTGGGAATATTATCTGGGAAGGACCAAGCTCTTTAAACTCTGCCCAGTAGGGAAGCCCTCAGAATAACATGAGCTTTTAAGTTCTCTGGGAAAATTTGCAAACACTCAGAACAGAAGACACAAACACCAAACTAATGATGGCCTGAATTTCATGTGTTAGCAAAAAGCTTGATGCTGTGAGGTAGGTGTGCAAATTTAGACACAAGGATGTTATCTTTCCATTCTGGCTTCTAAAGTATGTGACCAAGATGGATCACTTGTGTGTACTAAAGCCAAAATATTCCCTGAGATTCAAGTCTGTTTTTGGAGATCTAAACAGAGCCATATAGAAGGTCTCTTCAATTCCCAGGGCAGAAGTTTAAATATAAGGAAATTTTCTCCAATTCCAGGTGCTTGGCAGGTGAAGCAGACATAAACTTACCACGATAAGCCAAACACCTATGAAATAAAAGTACCTGAGTTAGATACGGGCATGCAGGTGGATAAAATTTAAGAGGTCTGCCACCTCTTATTCTCTGTACTGCTTACTGACCCACACTGTGATTTCCCACTACCCACATTCCCTCCTATAGTACCTGGTCCAATCTCAATAGTTACAGAACACTCAAACCATGATTTGTGAACAGAAATTTGGCATATAACTACACCCAAATTGTCCTGCCCTGAGAGATGTTTTAGTCTAACTGATCATCACAAAACTTTAATGATTTTAAACCTCTTTTTAGTGCACGAAAGGACCATCTCTTATCCCTCACACATACCTTTCCATGACGGAATGCACATCCTAGGGAGAAAAGGGAAGACATGAGTCAAGAGGTAATAGAAACTCCCCCTTACAAAGCTTCATCACATCCTCACCAGCCCCATGGTAGGAGTAAAGATGGTCCCAATGTGAGAGCAAATAAGTAAACATAAGATCCAGGCTAATCATTCCAGAAGACTCATGTGAGGTTTTCAGATTTCCTAAAAGGTAGAAACAGCTTTGAGCCTTGAAGAATTATAGCATGAAGCTTCTAGTATTTGGAAATGAGACTTATTTATGAGGAAAACAACAGTTCTGTAATTTTTTCCTACATGCATGAGATGGTTTGAATAATGCAATGCTTCTTTCATTTACTCAGTAGAAATGTAAAGTGATACACTATTATTTGCCAAACATCAGCACAGGTTTTGGAGACTCAAAGATGAGTAAAAAAAGAAAAGAAAAGAGTAAATAATTGTAGTATCCCTCAAGAAGTTTACATGGCTTTGCGGAGGATACAAGCAAATATATTGTTAGGTGTTTTTCAATTTTCAATTATCTCCTCATTTTACACACTATCTACAGATGACCTTGTCCAGTCTCTTAAATTCAACACACACATATGTGCACTTATTTCCAACTCTTTGTTTTTACTCAGTTTTGTCTCTTAGATTCTTGTTAACATAGGCAGTAGTAAAGAAGCCACAGGAACTAGTAGGTTAGGATGTCTAATATGTAACTTACCACTCACCCACCAAATCATCTCCTCTCTTATACTCCATTGTTCATAATGTTACCAATATCCACTCAACCACTGTCCTAAAATTATAATTTTTACCTGTACCTCAGGCTCTACTGAGCAATTTAATCCACATTTTTTTTTGTTATTGTTTTAATTTTTTGAAGTTTTTATTTAAAATTCCAGTTAATTAACAATGTAATATTAGTTCAGTTTAGTGCACATTCTTAACAGTTTTTAGCTATCTGATTTTCTTTATCCTCACAGGTATTGTTTTGGTTGTTTGAACATATATCTACCAATATATTTGGTTTCCTTTACCTCAGCCTTACTTCTTTCATGTCACCAAAAATAGGCCAACAGGTGGGTCAATAAGTGCAAAAGAGAAAAAACAACAACAACAAAAAAAACACTCTCTGTATTAGGGCTTTTATGTTGTATATGCCAAAAAAGAAAACCAGATTAAGTGGAGAAAAGGATTTGGGAGGGCTGTTATAACTTTAATCAAAGATGAATTTTGAACCTCAAACCCTATCATCAGGATCTGGTCTATGTCCTCCAAATTTTATTTATTCCCTCTATATTGACTTTACTCTCCATTCATGAAGGAAACATGAATCTCCTGATATAAACTCCAGAAGAAAAGAGAACTTCTCTTCCCAGTTAAAAACAATAACAATAAACAATAAGAATAAAAACAACAACAAAACACAAACAGAAAACAAAACCCAAAAAACTATTACTCCTGCATGCCATTGCTCTGCATTGATTAGGTACCCATATTAAATTATGCCTGTGTTGGAGCTGGAAGGAAATGAAACAACGTTGGAGTTTCTATATCTTACTGAAATTAATTTAGTATTAATTTGAAGTAGACCACGAGAGAGTAAGATGCATACTGTAATCACTAGAACAACCACTAGGGAAGGAAAAAAAAAAATGAAAAAACAAACAAACAACAACAACAAAAACCCCCACAGAAATAGGAAAACTTAACATTTTATACTAGAAATACTTAACTCAAGCAAAGCAAGTTAAGGAGAAAGGACAGTGAAAACTACAGGTGACACATGGAAGAAAAAAAAACAGCAATATGAAAAATGTAAATACAGCTACATCAGCATTAGCACTAAATGTTACTGTCTTAACACCCCCATTTAAAGGCAATGATTGTTGGACTGGATAAAAAGCAAGTTTCAACTATTGTGATCTGTAAGAGATGATTTTGGATCCAAAGACACAAATATGACCAAACTAAATAGATAGAAAAATATACACGATGCAAGCAGTAATCATAAAATAGCTCAAGTGCCTATATTAATATTACATAAGATAGACTTTAAGACAATAAATATTATGAGAGAATGGGAGGATAATTTCAGAATGATAAAAGGTTCAGTACATCAAGAAGGGATGTAACAATTACAAATGTAAATGTACCCAACAGTAGAACTTCAAAATACACAAAGCAAAATCGAAAGGATTAAAAAGAAAAATAGAAAATTCAGTAGTTATAGATTTCAATAGCTCACTCGAAATAATTGATAGAACCGTGTGTATGAAAATCATCAAAGATACAGAAGACATGGATGATACTATTAACTAATTTGACCTAACAGACATCTATAGACTATTTAATCTAACAAATATAAAATACACATTCTTCTCAATTCACATAGGAAAATTTTCTGGACATACAATATTTTAGTCCATAAAACAAGTATCAGTATATTTAAATACTGAAAAAATATGTGTTTTCTGGTTATGAAGAAGTTATATTTGAAATACACATTAAAAGAAAAAGTAAGAAACCAAGTATTGTTAAATTAATTTGCACACTTTATAGGTATTTAATCAAAGAATACAAAAATACTAATTCAAAGGGATACATTCACCCCAATGTTTCCAGCAGCATTATCTACAATGTTCAAATTATGGAAATGGCACAAGTGTCCATCAACTGACAACTGATAAAGAAGATGTGTTGTATATATATTATAATATATAATAATTTATTTATATATTTTATATATATGATGATGTGGTATATATTTGTGTGGGGGACATGCATAGATAGATAGATGATAGATGATAGATAGACAGATAAAAATACATATGCCATGGAATATTACTTAGCCATACAAAAGAATGAAATCTTGACATTTGCAACAACATGAATGGAACTAGAGAGTATTATGCTGAGTGAAATAAATCAGTCAGAGAAAGACAAATAACATATGATTTCACTCATATGTCAAATTTAAGAAACACAACAAATGAGGAAAGGGAAGAGAGAGAGAGACAGACAAACCAAGAAAGAGACACTTAACCATAGAGAACAAACTGATGGTCAGCAGAAGGGAAGTGGGTGGGGGATGGGTTAAATAGGTGAAGGGGATTCAGGAGGGCACTTGTGATGAGCACCTGGTAATGTATGGAAGTGCTGAATCACTATATTGTACATCTGACACTGATATTACACTGTATGTTAATTAACTGGAATTTAAATAAGTAAGTAAATAAATAAATAATATAAAAATAAAAAATATATGGAATGTATCTAAATCACTGCATTTATATCACTAAATACTATATCAGAAATGATGGTCTCAAATAAGTAATCAAAGTTTTCTCTTTAAGAAACTAGGGAAAAAATGGCAAACTAATCCTAATATACACACAAACTTTTGTTCATATGTGTGCACACTCATGTTCATGTATGCATACATTCTCAAGTTCATACATCCATATACACATTCACTCACAAAGTAAGAAAAAAGGCGGGGTGCCTGGGTGGCTCAGTTGGCTGAGCAGCAGCCTTTGGCTGAGGTGGTGATCTCAAGGCTCTGGGATCGAGCCCCTGTTGGTCTCCCTGCTCAGTGAGGAATCTACTTCTCCCTCTCCCTCTGCTCCTCACCCCACTCATGCTCTCTCTCTCTCTCTCAAATAAATAAAGTCTTCAAGGAAAAAAAAAAAAAAAAAAGAAGGAAAGATTAAAAAAGTCAATGAAATAATAAAGTTTATTCTTGAAGAAAATGTTAAAAAAAAATTGACCAAAGACAACTAAACTGTCCGAGAAAAAGCTCATCATCAAAATCAGGACTAAAAGAGGGGACATTAGTGTGTGTGCTATAGAAACCAGAGGGATTATAAGAGATTATCATCACTACCTTTATGTCTCCAGATCAGGCAACTTTAGAGTGGACAAATCCCTACAAAGACATTTATTATCAAAATCTGACTTAATAATGGTAAAAAATATAAGTAATCCTAATACATATTTTTAAATATTGTTTTAACCCTTTTGAAAAAGAAATAGGATGAGATGGCTTCACTGGTGAATTCACTGAATATTTAAAGACAAAACAATACTAGTACTTCACACTTTGTTTTTTGTTTGTTTTTCAGGAAATGGAAAAAGAGGGAGAAAAATCTTAGTTTATTCTATGAGGGGGAAAAATAGGGTCTTGGAATGTGACATTCACTTGTTTGTGATCAAGCTGATTCATGAAGAAGTACCTGAGAAGTCCCTAGCACTAGATTACTGATCACAGAGGCCTCTAGACTATCCCTGGATACCATGCAAATTCAGCCTGCCAGATTTCTGCACTGCACTTGATAAATAAATATGAGATTGTCCCTTGTTATTCATTCCTATAACCTCTGTCACAGATACAGGAAAGGGGATACTGCAAGGCAAAAGGAACCTTAGTGTCATCATCAGGAAGAGCAAAGAAATGGGAGAGAAGGAAACTCGGTCTTCATTTTTTCTCAAATCTCAGATGCTGGGGTTTCTTCCTGAGTCTTACCTGAAGCATGCCTACTGTTGACTCCTGAAGCCGATGCTCTAGTTCTGAAATCAGGTCTTTTACCATCTGCCTGTGCTGGGCCAGCTCATCCTCCACTGAGTCCAAGGAGTCGAGAATAGTTTTCTCCTCACTGTCCAGCTTCTGCACTATGTTCTTCTCCTCATGCTCCAGCATAGTCTTCAGTTTTTTAAACTGTGTCTGGTTATACCTTTTCTCATTTTGCATATGATTCTTCAGGAATGAGAAAGAGAGAGTGGTAGTCAGGCTATCAGCCAGAGACCGGGAGCCAGAAAGAGAACTATTTTCTTCGGAAACTTCTTACTGGGAAATGAGAGAGAAGCAAGGGAACAATTCTTGGGGATCCTGACTTTTCCCATTATTTTTTCTCCATCACATTCCAAAATAATGGCCTCAAGTTTACATTATTGAGGCTAACCTGAGCCCAAAGAGGATCCTTGGGTGTGGCTCTGCATTCACACAGCTGTCCAGGACAACCAAGTTCTCTTTGCTTTACTCCTGACTCCCATCCCCTCACCCTCGGCTGAAAGTTGAACAATACAGACAGAACCCTGAGTCATTGCTAACAGTCTTCCCCCAGGAGGGTCAAAGACTCAAAATCACAACAGGAATTTATCACAGAATTCACTAGCTATCCTCTATGTGAATACCTCCCTTTAAATGTCTGTGTTCATTTATAACATATTCATTTTTCAAGCCCCACCTTTATCAGGGAAAAGATAAAGGACTAACCAAATGACTTTTGGACATAAGGACTATCAGGAAACAAAAAGGAAGGGAGCTCCTTGTGACTAACACCCAAGGTCCTGTCTATATTTTTGTCTCACTCAGGAAGGATCTCTCCCTACCTTCCAGGAGGTTCTCTGTTCTCTGAGGTTAGCTTTCAACATCTCTGCTTCCTGCTGCTCCTCCCTCACCTTCTGCAGAGCTGTCTGGAGCTTCTCCTATGGAGAGGAGTCACACCAGAGTCAAGCTGTCAGATTTCTAAGTATCAGCATAGAGGATAAATGGAGAAAATATTAGGCCAATGTCCAAAGAGACCAGAGTTTATAGAATCAGTGAGAACAGCAATTAGAAACTATGACTTGGAAGAAAACCTGATGTGATAAATGTGTTCTTTAAGACCCAGGTGATGAGCACTGGGTGTTATTTGCAACTAATGAATCATTGAACACTACATCAAAAACTAATGATGTACTTACTCTATGTTGGCTAACTAAACATAATAATAAAAAAAATCTTTTCAGCCTCTACAGAAATAATCACTTTTTTATATGTAAATGTATCAATTATATTAACAAAATTGCATTCTATTCAGAAAACTATATTAAAAGATTTCCCTGTATTTAATTATTGCATTTAAACAAATAAACCAAAATTAATCAAGAGGAAAAAAAAAGACCCAGGTGATAGACATCACCAGCCCTCATCAAAAAGAGGGGATGATTCTGTTTGTAATATTACAACAAACCAAGCCCTCCAGCAAAGAAAGAACTTACATCTCCATCTACCTTCCTGTTCAACTCAGTGATGAGGGTCTCTCTTGGGCACTACATTTCCGCCCATCTAGCACAAGGTACAAAAGTATCTACTTTTGACTAAATCTGTACTGTAGGTTTATCCTTTTGTAATTTAATAGAATGCACAAAAATGTCCTTCAGACAAAAAAAAATTTTTTTAAATGTTCAACAGGCCTTTAGAAAGTGAGAATCAAAAGAAAAGACATCAGAGGCCTCAGGTCTATGATGACAAGGTAATGAAAGTTGAATGCAAAGTGGAGATTTCTCATCAAGTTCCATTTTCTGCCCTATATTCCCTCTATCCTGGTCTCTTACCTGGTACTCTTGGACAGCCTCATCCATGGGGACCGTTTGGTGACCACGGTGCTCCTGAGACCGCTCGCAAACCCAGCAAAGGACCTTCCCATCCTTCTTACAGAAGAGCAGGAGCTTCTCTTCATGGCGTTCACAGAGATTTCTCTTTTGCCCCTCCTCAGAGCTCACCTTGACCTCTCGGAACCTCTCCACTATATTGGCCACATGCCAGTTAGGCCGCAGCTCCTTAGCGCAGTAATGGAATTGGCATACAGGGCAATTGGAGCTCTTCTCTTCCTGGCTTGTCTTGGACTCCTTGTTTGCTGCAGTAATGCAGGCTTTGCAGAAGCTGTGGCCACAGTCCAGGCTCAGGGGTTCCTTCAGGAGGTCCAGGCAGATGGGGCAGGTCACCTCCTCCTTTATGTTTGTCAGGAGTTTAGAAGCCATAGTAGCTGCTCCCTTGCTCCTATCTCTCCTGACCTCAGTGGTTCCTCTTGCTCACAGATCCCTGCATGATTGGGAAGGTTAAAAGGGGACAGAGTTGGAAAGGTAAGAATAAAATTACACTAATTGTGTAGAAATTAAGGACAAGCCCAAATCATAATATTGAAGGACAAGAAAGAAAAGGTAGAGAAGGGAGGAGTAGCAGACCCCATTTCAACCAGTCCCCTGAATTTAGCTGGCCTACCAGACCATTCTAAACACCTGCAAAATCAGCCTGAGGTGTAAGAATGTGCTGGGATCTCTGCAAGCAGAAAAGCAGGGCCTGTCACAAGGTGGGAAGGGCAGAGTCATGACTTGTGACTCTGTGGGAATATATCAGAAGATAAGCAGAAGAGGGCAGGAACCACCATAAACTGGCTTCTGGAAAGAGATATAACACTGGAGCACAAAAGCATAGTGAGCCAGGGTCCGCAAAAACTTTCAGAGCAGTAGCAGCTCGGAAAGGGCTTTAGAGCAGTGACCAGACATGATCCAGGAGCTGAGGGTGCATGCACGAGCCCACGGCTCCTTGACATTTTAGAAGCACAAAGGGCAGGGACATGCGGGGGCCCCCTGGGATGACCTCTGGGAGAGTCACTGTGGACATGCACCACAGGAGGCTGCAGTTTTCAGCAGCACATACAGAAACAGAGATTCTGTCCTGGAGGGCTCTGTGAAGAGCAGACTGCAATTTCTCTGTTCTGGGACAGAGGTTCGGGTGCAGCCATTTTTGCTCTGACCCTCTGAAGAGGTACAGAAAACCACCAGAGAACAAAAGCTCAAATAAAAACAAAAGCTCCAGTGAGCCCATCCCCTGTCAGGGGCAGCTCAACTCCTCCTAAGCAGGGTTGCCTGAGAAACAGCATGGAGGACCCTCCCCCCAGAAGACAGGATGGAAGAATAAAGGGACAACAACACTATGGATCTCGTAAGATTGTAAAATCCCAATATCAGGGGAAAATATATTAAGCTCCAGGCACTGCCTCAAAGCTTATTTATTTTTCAAATACAACTCTCTATTTTTTGTTTTTCTTTCTCTTACACGTCTGTTTTTTTCTTTTTACCTTTTTTCATTTCAACCAGATCTTTAATACAACAACTTCTATTTCATAGCAGTTGTTACTTTTTAAAAAGATTTTACTTATTCATTTGACAGAGATAAGAGCACAAGTAGGCAGAGTAGCAGGCAGAGGGAGAGGGAGAAACAGGCCTCCTGCTGAGCAGGTAGCCTGACATGGGACTTGATCCCAGGACCCTGGGATCACAACCTGAGTTGAAGGCAGATGCTTAGCTGACTGAGCCACCTAGGCATCCCTCATAGTAGCTTTTTAACCTGTACTTTTTCACACCTATATTTTTTATAGGTATATACTTCATTGTAGTCCTTTTTTCCCTATTCAATATGACATATATAAGTTTTACTTTCCCTGTAATTTTGAGAAGTAGTGTCCTCTAACACAGACCAAAATATGCCCAGGAACAAATGAAACACCCTACTTTGCCCACACTGAGTGATTATAGCTCTCCTTCCCCTCACCCCCACTTTAAAAAAAAAAATTAATGTTTAAAAAAATTTTAATTTTATAAATTTTATTCTTGTGTTTCATTTTGGCTTTGTTTATTTGGTGGTGGCTTCCAACTGCTCTGGAGTTTCCATCTTGCTAGGGTCATGGTTGATATTTTGGATTCTGTACATTCCCTCAACTATCCCTCAACAGAATGAGTATGAGGAGGAACTCCCAACAAAGAAAAGAACCAGAGATAATGTCCCCTGCCACATATTTAATGGATATGGATATAAGCAAGATGTCAGAGATAGACTTCAGGGTAGCAATCATGAAGTCAATAGCTAAGCTTGAAAAAAGTATTAATGAAAATACAGAAACTCTAAGGGCAGAAATGAGATCTAATCAGGCTGAACTTAAAAATACTATGAATGAGATGCAGTGAAAACTGGATTTTCTAGCAGCCAAGGTAAATTAGTCAGAAGAATGAATTACTAATCTAGAAGATAGGCTGATAGGAAGAAAGGAAGCCAAAGAGGATAGGGATAGGCAGCTGGAAGCCCATGAGAACTGACTTAGAGAGATGAAGGATCCCATAAATGTTCCAGTGTCAGAATTATTGGTATCCCTGAGGGGGTGGAGAAAGAGGGCTAGTCGGTATATTTGACCAAATCATAGCTGAGAACTTCCCTAATCTAGGGAAGGAGATAAGCATCCATGTCCAAGAGGCAGAGAGGACCCCTTCCAAGAACAATAATACCAAGACCCAGTCATATAATAGTGAAACTTGTGAATCTTAGAGCCAAGGAAGCTATGCTGAGAGCAGCTAGGGGAAGAGATTTCTTATGTATGGGGAGGGAGGAATATCAGAATAATCTTAGACCTGTCCACAGAGACCTGGCAAGCCAGAAAGGGCTGGCAAGACATATTCATGGTACTAAGTGAGATGAACATGCACCCAAGAATATTTTATCCAGCAAGGCTGTCATTCAGAATGGATGGAGAGACAAAGAGCTTCCAGGACCAGCTGAACATAAAAGAATATGTGAAACATGAAAGAATATGACCACCAAGTCAGCCCTGCAAGAAATATTAAGGGGGATTCTATAAAAGAATACCCCAAGAGTAATATAGACCAGAAATTTACAGAGTCATTCTGTAGAAACAAAGACTTTAGAAGCAGTATAACGGCACTAAATTCATATCTTTCAATAGTTACTCTCAATGTGAATGGCCTAAATGCTCCAATGAAATGGCAAAGGATTTCAGATTGATAAAAAGACAGTACCCACCCATATGCCCTCTACAAGAGGCTCACTTTGAACCTAAAGACACCCCCAGATTGAAAGTTAGGTGATGGAGAACCATTTATCGTGCCAAGAGACCTCAAAAGGAAGCTGGAGTAGCAATTCTCATATCAGACAAACTAGACTTTAAACCAAAGACTGTAGTAAGAGATGTAAAGGGACATTATATCATACTTAAAGGGTCTACCCAACAAGAAGATCTAACAATTGTAAATATCTATGCCCCCAAGTGGGAGCAGCCAACTACATAAACCAGCTATTAAACAAAATAAAGAATCATATTGATAATAACACATTAATAGTAGGAGATCTCAACACTCCACTCTCAGCAATGGACAGATCATCTAAGCAGAAAATCAATAAAAAACAAGACTTTTGAATGATACATTGGATCAGATAGACTTCATAAGTAAGTACAGAACATCCCACCCTAAAAAAACAGAACACTCATTCTTCCTGAGTGCACATGGAACTTTCTCCAGAATAGACCACATACTGGGTCACAAGTCAGGTCTCAACTGATACCAAAAGATTGAGATTATTCCCTGCATGTTATCAGACCACACGCTTTGAAACTGGAACTCAATCAAAAGAAAAAAAAAATGGAAGGAATTCAAACATTTGGAAGCTAAAGAACATTCTGCTAAAGAATGATTGGGTCAACTGGGAAATTAAAGAACTTAAACAATTCATGGAATATAATGAGAATGAATACACATCAGTCCAAAACCCATGGGATACTGTAAGGTGGTCCTAAGGGGGAAATACATAGGCATGCAAACCTCTCTCATAAAATTAGAAAAACAAATGCACAAGCTAACCTTACACCTAAAAGACCTGAGAAAGAACAGCAAATAAAACCTAAATCAAGCAGGAGAAGAGAAATAATAAAGCTTAGAGCAGAGATAAATGAAATAGAAACCAGACGAACAGTAAAACAGATCAACAAAACTAGAAGCTGGTTCTTTGAAAGAATTAATAAGATCAAGAAACCTCTGATGAGACTTATCCAAAAGAAAAGAGAAAGGACCCAAATTCATAAAATCATAAATAAAAGGGGAGAGATCAAGACCAAGACCAAGGAAATAGAAACAATTATTAGAAATTATTATCAGCAACTATATGCCAACAAATTAAACAACCTGGAAGAAATGGATGCCTTCCTGGAAACTTAAAACCACCAAGACTGAAACAGGAAGAAATAGATATCTGAATAGTCCAATATCAGTAATGAAATTGAAGCAGTAATCAAAGACTTCCCAAAAAACAAAAGTCCAGAACTGGGTGGTTTCTCAGGAGAATTCTACCAAACATTTAAAGAAAAAATAGTACCTATTCTACTGAAGCTGCTTCAAAAAATAGAAACAGATGGAAAACTTCCAAACTCATTCTATGAGGCCAGTATTACCCTGAATCCAAAACCAGTCAAAGACCCCACCAAAAAGAATTACAGACCAATATTCCTGATGAACATGAATTCCAAAATACTCCACAAGATCCTAGCCAATAGGATCCAACAGTACATTCAAAAGATTAATCACTACGACCAAGTGGGATTTATTTCTGGGAGGCAAGGGTAGTTCAACATTCATAAATGAATCAGCATGATAGAGTACATTAATAAAAGAAAAGGTAAGAAAAATATGATCTTCTTAATTGATGCAGAAAAAGCATTTGACAAAATACAACATCCTTTCCTGATTAACACTCTTCAGAGTGTAGGGATAGAGGGAATATTCCTCAATACCATAAAAACCATCTATGAAAAGCCCACAACAAATATCATCCTCAATGGGGAAAAACCGAGAGCTTTTCCCCTAAGGTTAGGAACATGGCAGGGCTATTCACTATCACCACAGCTATTCAACATAGTACTAGAAGTTCTAGTATCAGCAATCAGACAACAAAAAGAAAAAAAAAAAAGGCATTCAAATTGGCAAAGAAGTCAAACTCACTCTCTTCACAGATGACATGATACTTTATGTGGAAAACCCAAAAAAGACTCTACCCTCAAATTACTAAAACTCATACAGCAATTCAGTAATGTGGCAGGATACAAAATCAATGCACAGAAATCAATTGTTTTTCTATACACTAACAGTGTAACTGTAGAAAGAGAAACTAAGAAATCGATTCCATTTACAACAGCACAAAAAAACAAAACAAAACAAAAAACAAACAAACAAACAACAACGTAAGATACCTAGGAATAAACCTAACCAAAGAGGTAAAGGATCTATATCTAGAAATTATAGAACACTTACAAAAGAAATTGAGGAAGACACAAATGTAAAGACACAGATGAGAAAACATTCCATGCTCATGGAATGGAAGAATAAACATTGTTAAAATGTCATCCTACCCAGGGGAATCAACACTTTCAATGCCATCCCTATTAAAATACCACTGACATTTTTCAAGAACCTGGAACAAACAATCCTAAAATTTGTATGGAGCCAGAAAAGACCCCAAATCTCCAAGGGAATATTGAAAAAGAAAAACAAAGCTAGAGGCATCATGTTGTCTGACTTCAATCTATATTACAAAACTGTGATCACCAAGGCAGCATAGTATTGGCACAAAAACAGAATCATAGACAAATGGAACAGAATAGAAATTCCAGAAATGGATCCTCAATTCTATGGTCAACTAATCTTTGACAAATCAGGAAAAAAAAAATTAAAAAAAGACAGTCTCTTCAATAAGTGGTGCTGGGAATGTTGGACAGCTACATACAGAAGAATGAAAATGGACCATTTTCTTACACTAAACACAAAGATAAACTCAAGATGGATGAAAGACCTAAATGTGAAACAGGAATCCATCAAACTCCTAGAGGAGAACATATGCAGTAACCTCTTTGACATCAGCCACAGCAACTTCTTTCAAGACACATTTCCAAAGGCAAGGGAAACTAAAGCAAAAATGAACATTTGGGACTTCACCAAGATAAAAAGCTTCTGCATAGTAAAGAAAACAGTCAACAAACCTTAAGAGGCAACCTATGGAATGGGATAAGATATTTGCAAAGGACATTACAGATAAAGGGCAGGTATCCAACAACTATAAAGAAGTCCTCAAACCCAACACATACAAAACAGATAATCATGTCAAAAAATGGGCAGAAGACACGAGCAGACACTTCTCCAAAGAAGACATACAAATGCCTAACTAGGCACATGAAAAAAAAAAGTTCAACATCACTAGCCATCAGCGAAATACAAATCAAAATCATAATGAGATACCACATTACACCAGTTACAAAGGCAAAAATTAACAATGCAGGAAATAACAAATATTGGCAAGGATGTGGAGAAAGGGGAACCCTCTTATGCTGTCGGTGGGAGTGCAAGGTGGTATAGCCACTCTGCAAAATTGTGTGGAGGCTCCTCAAGACATTAAAAATCAAGCTACCCTACAACCCAGCAATTGGACTACTAAGTATTTACCCCAAAGATACAGATGTAGTGAAAAGAACCCCAATGTTCATAGCAGCAATGTCCACAATAACCAAACTGTGGAAGGAGCCAAGATGCCCTTCAGAAGATGAATGGATAAAGAAAATGTGGTTCATGTATATAATGGAATATTCCTCACCCATCAGAAAGGATGAATACCCACCATTTGCACTGACATGGATGAAACTGGAGGGGATTATGCTAAGTGAAGTTAGTCAAGCAGAGAAAGTCAATCATGTGGTTTCACTCATATGTGGAACATAAGGAATAGTATGGAGGACCATGGGGAAGGGAGGGAAAACTGAAGGAGAAGGATCAGAGAAGGGGTGGAACCATGACAGACTATGGACTCTGGGAAACAAACTGAAGGTTTTAGAGGGGAGGAGGATGGGGGAATGGGGTACAGGGTAATGGGTATTAAGAAGAGCACATGTTGTGATGAGCACTGGGCGTTGTATGTAACTAATGAATCACTGGACACTACATCAAAAACTAATGATGTACTATACAGTGGGTAACTGAACATAATAAAATAAGATTAAATTAAATTAAATTTAGAAAAGATACCACATTTGGAAAGTTATTCCTTTGCCCCTGATCTCTTGGGTGGCCCCTGTTTCTGGGTGGCAGATATGGCCCTGGCAGAGGATGAGTAAGGTTAGTGACTTGGGCTTGCCAGCTGGCAGCCCATCAAACTCCTAAGCACGGCCAAACCAAAGTGATGAGAATTTATCTAGAGTCATGCAGAAACGCTACGGTGTTACCAAGCAGGCACTAAAATGTTAGGATTCAAAGATCCCTCTGTCTTTGTTCTTGCTGTGGAGAGAAGGAACTTTCTACCTCTGAAAAACAGAGGATTCTGGTTGGTCCTCAGCGACATGCAATTCAGAATTATAGAATGGGAAGGAGAATCTCCAGGCTAGATTCAACCGGTAGAAATAATGGTTAATTCCAAGAAAGCACAAGGCCTTTCAAGCCTTCAAACTTCCCTTCTTTGAGGACTGCCCTTCCCCCAACTTCCCCAGGCCTCTTTGCACCCACCCCACCCCTACACTCTTAGCAGGAAGCTTGCAAGCTAGGCGTTGTCCCATCTACCCTTCACCGCAGCTGCTTGAACACACATTAAACTCACTCCAAAATTCAGTTCTCCCCACCTCTGCCCTCCACAAACCAGTCCACACACCTTCAGACACCAGTTGAGAAGTCGTGGCTCCTTGGGGGAAGCGTGGAGGCAGGCCAGAGTGTGGTCAGGATTCTCTCAACAAACTAGTGGCCAATCTCCACCAAGCTCTCGAAGTGCTAAGTGAAAATGAAAATGAAATTCTCCCAGACTGGCAGGAGAGGAGGAGAGATGCCACAGACCAATGGGAGGCCTGCGCATGGGACCCCAGAAGTGACAAGGCTTTGTGCCCAGGGCCAGTCTGATGAACCAGTGGTTGAACTCCTTGTTCCACTCTTAGAGAATGCTCTCATGTCTTTTCAAGGTAATCAGTCCTTTGGAGCACTAGGCTTACCTGAACAATATAATTTCACACAAATCTGCCTAACTTTTTATCCCAGAAATGAGCTTTCCAGTAGAGGTGAATAAAATTCTTCCTTTACCACAAGGAGGGACCCATGCAGAAGGCTGCCCTGAGGCAGCCCTGGGGACATGCTCTCTAGTCTTATGTATTCACCTAAAGTAAGTTAATCCTATTAGGCATGTGAGAGGGAAGAGCTACGGGACTCTGAAATTTCCTCCATGGGACAGTCAGTGACCATCCCAAACTGGCAGCACAGTGAGGTTGACCTTCAGAATTTGGATTCAGTACCGCCAAAATAACCCTTCTGCTAAAGATGCTGGGAAGATCCAACTGTAGGCAGTGTCATTTGCTGGGCAATGTCATCTACTATTATTTAACATACAATCTTTATAACCTTAGCATAATAAAAATGAATCAGGAAAATCATTGTGGAGTGGTGAGGGAACAGAAGGCTGGCTGAGGACAAAGCAAAAGCTGACACCCTTCAACCTTCCCCCACCCCCACTCCTGGGTGGGACATATGTGACATTCTCTAGGAATCTCCCATCCACCTTAATGTTAATACCTTGCTAGAGGGCAAAACGACCTTGGCAATGGCAAGGCCTCTGGTATCCAGTATCTTGTAGGTCCTCTTTAGCATACAAAAGTTCTGTCGAAACCTCCCTTTCCATTACCTTCCCCCAACTCCATGGTACATAACCTGCCACCCCTCACAACCGTGGGGGCAGGAGCTCTTTCTGCCCTTGGGTCCTGTCTCCATGATTTAATAAACCATTCTGCACCAAAGATATCTCAAGAATTCTTTCTTGGTCATCAACTCCGGACCTCACCTATATTCTAGAACTTCATCATTAGGATCTTGTTATCATGCTGCTACTTCTGAGATCTCTTCATATTAACAACAAGCATGCATCTCATTTTGTTGTTGTTGGTGGTGGTGGTCCTTGATCCCTGAGATCAAGACCTGAACTAAAATCAAGAGTGGAATGTTCAATCTGCTGAGCCACCCAGGTGCCCCTCATTTTGTTTTATTAAAAGTTGTCAAGATGTCCCTTATGGAAATTCTTCCTATGTGCTCTTCTAGCTGATCTCCCAAGTGAGGTCAGCTTCTGGGTGGCAGAAATGGCCCGAGGAGGAGGAGGAGGAGCAAGGTTAGTATATTTGTTGTTGTTGTTGTTGTTTCTGGTTTTTTGGTCTGCTGTAGATCCCTCAGTTTGAACTTGGAAAGCTTCTAAGACTAGAAAACACCAAATAAACTGCAAAGCACAGCAACCATCACCCCATTAAGGCTTCCAAACCCAGGGAGGACAGGGTGCTAAGAATTTCGGTGGACAGTCATGCAGAAATCCTACATTATTATACTGAGTCATTAAATTGTTAAGCTTCAAAGAACTTTATGACTTTCCTCTGTTGTCTTCCTCAAAGTACCTTTTTCATCCCTGAGCAGAGCCAGGCCTACTTCTCTTCTCTGCTGCTCTCAGGGCAGAACCGGTCCAGTAGCCTGGGATGTGGCCCACAGACACTCCCATAGGCGCTTTGTCTAGGGCTTCCCCTGTCAAAATTTTTCTGAAGTCATTGCCGAAACTAGGATTACTCTTAGAGGTGAGGACTCAGTCACTATTCCTTGAATTAGAAAATGAAAATGCATGAGTGGAAGGCAAGAAAGAGACGTGCATGGGAAACCTAGTGTTATTACTGATCTTATCAGTGGTAATCACCCCTACCTCACCCTGCACCCCTAACTCTAAGTTTCATGAGGTCAGGGAGGGACTTTCTCTATTCTGTTGCTTGTTGCCTCAAATCTATTAGAAGCTACTGCATATAAGGATTGATAGATAGATAGATATGCAGATATGTAACTATGAAAATATTTGTAATTGAATGGAACATCTTGATGATAAATCATACATTCTTGCTATGAACACAGTTGCTGTCACATCATATAATTCAGGTATTCTCGAGATGCCTGGGTGGCTCAGTCATTTAAGTACCTGCCTTTGACTCAGGTCATGATCCCAGGGTCCTGAGACTGAGTCCTGCACTGGGCTCTCTGCTCCCCAGGGAGCCTGCTTCTCCCTTTGCCACTCCCTCTGCCTGTGCTCACTCTTTCTCTGTCAAATAAAATCCTTTTAAAAAATTCAGTTATTCTTCTGGTATCAATAACATACATTAATTCCCCTTTGATACTTTTTTTATTGAAGTATAATTAACATACATTAGTTTAGGTATACAACATACTGATTCAACATTTGTATACATAGTGAAATGTTCACCACAGTAAATCAAGTTATCACCATAGGAGGTCATGAGAAAAATTTTTTTCCTGTGATGAGAACATTCAAGATTTACTTTTGTAGCAACTTTCAAATTTGCAACACAATACTATCTGCTACAGTCACCATGCTATACATTATATCCCCATGACTTATTTTATAACTGGAAGACTTTACTTCTTGATCCTCTTCACCCATTTTGCCAACCCCCAAAACCTGGCCTTTAGCAACCACCAATCTGATCTCTATATCAGTGAGTTTTGTGTTGTTAAGTACCAGACAGAGAAGAGGTCTTTGGCTAAGGAGTGCTTTCCTTCTGATCACTACAATCAATACCACTATGCTGTCCTCATCAGTCGGACTCTGAGCTCTCCAATCCCCTTCAATTTCAGCCAAATATACCGAAAAATACATCTATTCTTAATATCTCTGCATTGACCACCCAACTGTTTACCATCATTGTTCCCTTCCTGAATTTGTGGTAATCCAAAATGTTATAATCACTGAATAAAATCTGTCAGTTTCTGTAACAAAAAGGGAAAAAAAAAAAAAACACTAGAATTCAGCAACTGAACTTACAGCTTAAAATATCCAAAGCAAGCAAAACTGAGGTTGTTTCCATAAATGGAGGTATTTATTTGAACAAAACAGCACCCATAACCTACAGATCAACACTATAAACCATGAACAATTGTAAAAATGAAGCAAAACAAACAAAAACATGAAGGCACTAGAGACTGACAAAACACTTAGAATCTAGGGTGTAATAGACAATTGGAAGAAGGGAATACTACTGGACGAGTTTTCTGGTTTTATAGCTTTTTATTTGAAAGCAAAACTCAATTGGTAATGAGTGGGACAGTTAAAACTCAGCAGCATACAGACTTACTAGCTTAACGAGCAAGAAGAATGATTTGGGGCTATCACAACAGCTGAAAAATGGTAGGAAAATGTCTGTAAAAGAGAGATTCAGAGGAGGAAATCTCAAGTTGTACATACACACTGACCAACTCTTTGAACTACACGTTTGAGACAGATACCAAGCAGCCTAAATTGAGCTAAAGGAACTGACCAGAGATTTCAGCTTCTGCAAAATGCATGAGAGAATTTTGAATCTGATTTCAACCAAAGGCTTGAAAAAAAATATTCTTCAGAAAAATAAACGGAATCCAAAGTCTTTACATCTCATTCACAATTCTCCTGGGGGAATTTTAGATATATGTTAAAATTGTTTAACATACAAAGAAACTAACGTGGCCCATACTCAAGAACAAAGGCAATCAATCAATGGAGATCAACTCCAAAATAATGCAGATGTCTTATTTATGATAAGGATTAACAACAACAAGAAGATAAGACTTGAGAGCAGCTATCATATCTAGGGTAAATACTATGAAGGAAAATATGTTTATAATAATAAACAAATAGGACATGTCAAAAAACAAATAAAAATAGTTTTGTTAATTGAAATGCTAAAACTAAAAGCTATAATCACTCAAAGAAATTATCTAGGACTGGCTTAAGAGAAACTCAGGATCACAAAAGAAAGACTAAGTGAACATAAAGGTTAGATTAAGGGAAATTATCCTATATTAAAATGATGAACAGAACCTCAGTCATCTGTGGGGGAAAAAAAAAATCAAGGTACTAACAACATAGGCTTAAACAACAAACTAACTACTAAACTACAATGATAACAAAACTATAAAGGTACTTGAATTAGATGGAGAAAAGTTGCATGTTTAATTTCAATACATGTAGAAAAGCATTGCACAAAGCCATTCTGTAATAAAAAAGAGAAAGGAAGGAAGAGGTGTTCAGAAGGGTGCAGGTAAGCTAGGTGTAGGTGAGCCCCAGGAAAAGAAGCTCTACACAGAAGTGGGTAAGGTGCTAAAAAGGTTCAGGAATGTGGTGGGCACAGGATGATGGGGCCTGGACAGTTCCAAGGATTGAAGTATGGATAAGCAGTCTGAGAGAAGCAACATTTCGAAAACTTGTGGATGAGTGACCCATGGTTTGTGACATTGAAAAATGAGACGATGCCTGCATCATAGTCTAGGAAAACTCCAATACGATGGGGAGGAACAGCCATGGAAATAGTCAAGACCGTGGGTTGAGATGTGGAAGACTCCTCAAAGGCCTTATACCCAAATTCATTCTGTAACCCAATAACCCAGTAGCCACATTGAGGTCTGTATCTGGAGTAAGCACTTTGATGATTTGTGCCTTGTCTAACACCAGACTTTTTATTATGGAAACGTGTTCTACAGTATACCCCCAGAATCCAGGCACACTTCTTGGACACATCTATTTCCCAATAGTGTTTCCCTGAGGAGAAATATTGGGACCCCAAGATACCAAAATTAGTACAGTCCACAGGCCAAATTGGCACAGACATCACTTGTCTCTGATCTTCTGAAAGGACAAGGTTTAAATTTAAGTTGACTGGATTCAGTGTGATGTCCACTGCAAGAAAAAAAAAAATTAAGATCAGGTGATTAAATATGGAGCAGGTTTATCTGGTGATATTGTGAAGAGGGAACATGGGAAGTGGCT